GTCCCGCCTGCATCACAGGCGCGCCTGGTGGGAACGAGAGACAGGGCCTTCTCAGTGGTGGCCCCTCGGCTGTGGAACCCCCTTCCTATAGATATCAGATCGGCCCCATCCCTATTGGCGTTTCGGAGGAAAGTGAAGACCTGGCTGTTCGAACAAGCATTCGATTAAGCAGTGTAATGAATATAGGAACACGGATTAACGGATGATGAGATTGGATTCTGATTTTACTGATGAGACGCTAATGATTGTTATATTGATGTTTAATTGTTGATGATGCTATTGTTTTAACTGTCCCATAATCGTTTTATGATGTTTTGCATTGAATTTTGCTATTGTTAACCGCTTTGAGTCGCCTGATAGCTGAGAAAAGCGGTATATAAATGAAGTAAATAAATAAATAAGATATAGTGTATTTAGAATCATAGAATCAAAGAGTTGGGCCATCCAGTCCAACCCCCTGCCAAGAAGCAGGAATATTGCATTCAAATCACCCCTGACAAATGGCCATCCAGCCTCTGTTTAAAAGCTTCCAAAGAAGGAGCCTCCACCACACTCCGGGGCAGAGAGTTCCACTGCTGAACGGCTCTCACAGTCAGGAAGTTCTTCCTCATGTTCAGATGGAATCTCCTTTCTTGTAGTTTGAAGCCATTGTAGTTTGAAGCCATCTCCTCTCAGCCTTCTCTTCTTCAGGCTAAACATGCCCAGCTCCTTAAGCCGCTCCTCATAGGGCTTGTTCTCCAGACCCTTGATCATTTTAGTCGCCCTCTTCTCTGGACACATTCCAGCTTGTCAATATCTCTCTTGAATTGTGGTGCCCAGAATTGGACACAATATTCCAGGTGTGGTCTAACCAGAGCAGAATAGAGGGGTAGCATTACTTCCCTAGATCTAGACACTAGGCTCCTATTATTTACTCAAATCTAATGCTCTCCTTTTTTGGCTAAATCACCTTGTCAAAATTAGGGTGCGCATTAGATTCCCGTAATACAGTATTTTTAGTGCTGAGCCAAAGCAATAGGGAAAACTGCTTCAGGAGCTCCTATTTGAGGAATTTCATTTCTAATTTAATGGCTATACAACCCAGGGATTTGTAGTTTGCTGAAGCACTCACATTTTCTGGCAGAAAAGGACCAAGACCTTGTAAAACTACACTCCCCATGACTCCATAGCATTGAGCCAAGGCAGTTAAAGTGGATTCAAGCTACAGAATAGTTGCACAGTAATGTTTTCTTTTCCATTGGTAGAAGTATCGGTGTAACACTTTTGTTTTTAATGAAGGAATCCTAAGCAGGCAGCAACTGTAATGACCATATTGCAAAGACTGCACCTTTTGTCACTGCGCAGTACATTTGTCGGCAAATGCACATTACATTTGTCGGCAAAGAAGAGAAGGTTGAGAGGAGATATGATAGCCATGTATAAATATGTGAGAGGAAGCCACAGGGAGGAGGGAGCAAGCTTGTTTTCTGCTTCCTTGGAGACTAGGACACAATGGAACAATGGCTTCAAACTACAAGAAAGGAGATTCCACCTGAACACAAGGAAGAACTTCCTGACTGTGAGAGCCGTTCAGCAGTGGAACTCTCTGCCCCGGAGTGTGGCGGAGGCTCCTTCTTTGGAAGCTTTTAAACAGATGCTGGATGGCCATCTGTCAGGGGTGATTTAAATGCAATATTCCTGCTTCTTGGCAGGGGGTTGGACTGGATGGCCCATGAGGTCTCTTCCAACTCTAGGATTCTAGGATTTTTTTTTTGTTTTGTTTCCTGGTTTTGAAAATTGAGATGTGCATTAGATTCGATAGTGCATTAGAGTCGAGTAAATATATGAGTAGTTTAGGAGTAGAGAGGTGGGAATTGTGGCACTTAGGAAGATCTGAAAATGCTTTTGCTCCCACATCATGCCCCTCAGTGCTTGCTTTTGGAATTGTACTCCAAAAAAAGAAACCTTTCCAAGCTCAGCAAACAGAGCCAGATGCTGATATCACTAAAGTGCTGATGCTTAGGTTATGCTTGCCCTGAAGCCTCTCAATGAGTTCATGGCAGATGGAAAACTCAAACCCCAGAACCTCCTTTTTCCCCATATCTCAGCTGCACCATCTATCCTGATCTTCTTGTGGTTTTGTGTCTGGCTGGATGGCCATGATGATGACACAGGCTCAGTTTCTCCTTCCCAACTCTTAGGGAATGTAAAGCTGTCTGTCAGAATAAGTGGCATACATGAGGAGTAGAAAGCATGATACAGACCTTGAGGTATTTAAACAAAAAGGTTTGCATCACAATCTGGAGTAGATGAAGTCATCCCCAAAAGACAGTGTCAGATGGTTTCTCCTTGCTGCCATCTTTGGAGACAGCTTTAGAGAGGGAAATTACATGTCTATAATACACCAGGTGGATGACAATAATCATTTTATGTGGTCCAGGCCACATTCAGTTTGCTCTAAAGCTGTCTCCAAAGATGGCAGCACTGGGAGAGGGAGGCATTCTTGAGAGCAGGACCTAGCCCACATTGTATAGAATGACCAGGACGAATACTAGGTATGATGATGGATGAGAGTTTCTTAAAAGTTAGATATTAAAGTCACAAACAGTTCCAATGATGAGGAAAACTGGTTGGTATGTAAAGAAACCAGAACAGATGTCTAAAGAACCTTCAGTTGAACTAAGATTTAAAAGGGGAATGTGGTATGGAAGAATTTGGGGGAAAAAAGATTGAACTCAATAAAGAAGAATTCAAACATATCTCCAGCAAATCTAAAAAAAAAATACAGAAAAAGTAAAGCTCAAGAGGCTAAAATCAAGAAAAGGACTATCACACACATACACACACACACACCAAAATGGTAGAGATGGTAAAATGCTAATGAGACAGAGAAAAGCCAGAACTACTCAACACCTTCTTTGCCTCGGTATTCTCCCAAAAGATAACTGGTGCTCAAGGGGAAAATGGAGCAGATGTTGTAATAGAGGAAATGCAACAGAGGAGAAAAGGTAGGACAGCAATACCTGGACACTGTAAATGAATTCGATACTCCCAAAGCCTAATGAACTATATCCATGGTGATTGGGGGGGGGGGGGGGACTGTCAGTAGTTTTTGAGAATTACCAGAGAACTGGAATASTCCCAACAGACTGGAGAAGGACAGATGTTCCCATCTCCAAAAAGAGGAAAAAGAAGACCCAAACAATTACCACCCGGTCAACCTGACATCAAGACCAGGAAAGATTCTAAATTCCATCATTAAACACACGCCCTGTCAACACTTAGAAGAAATGGTATGATAACTAAAAATCTAAAAAACAGCAAATACTTCAGAGCACAGATCAGAATCCAAAATGGACAGATCAGAGAGCTTGTGTTTCACTCCAAGGCTGGGAACCACCTCTGTTCTTAACCCACACTCCAATCCAAGGTAGTATAGCAAAGCATTTTATTGAAGAATATATATAAAAAGCAACCCAGCAAAATGGTATTAAAAATCAAGTCCAAATATCAGGAGTAATCCACAGAAATCAAAGTATGGGTTTAGCATCAGAAACCAGGAATACAAAAGCAGAATAAATCCAAAACATGAAATTCAGGAACAGTCTTCAAAACTTAGAATCATGACACATGAAGAAAAGGAAACATAGAACATGGAACTAGAAATCCCTTGACTTGACAATAGATATATACGCAATCACCAACATTGCCTGGACTAATGGACCCATCTGCTGGGCTGGCTAATATAGAGAGAAAATAATACCTTCTCCCCTGGGAAACTGATAAGGATAATCATCTTGACCTTTGTACTTTCTCCTGAGAAGACCTATGTTGACGGAACATAAATCTCCTATCTAACTGCTCATTAGCCTGTCACCTGGACTTTCATTTTCATTCTGAGCTCAGATCTGTTTGTGACCTTGCTTCCCTAGCAACTGCCTTTCAGGAATGTGGCCTTCAGACACAGACCACTCATTTTCAGGGCTTAAAATCTCTTGCTGGCTTTCCTGCTGACTTGCAGACCCAAAATCCCCAGAGAGATCAGGTGCAAGCACAATTAAAGGCTGAACTACAACAGCTTGGCTGTAACTGACAAAACTGCAGTATTTTCGGTAGGCAGACATTTAAGGAAAAAAGAAATGTAAGGAAAAAAGGTGTACCTGCTCCACATGCTGTTGCAAGTTCTTACATGGTGCATAGCTGATGGTGCATTAAGGGAAATAGAGCACAGCAGAGGGGAAAAGGTAGGACAGCAATACCTGGTCGCTGTAAATGAATCCTACTCTCCAAGGACTGTTGAACTACATCCTTGGTTATTAAAAGAACACCTGGCAGTAGCTTATGAGAATTCCATACTATGATTGTACCTATATTATAGAAATTAATTATCTAAACAAATAAAAAATAACTGTTCCTCTGTGACTTCAATGTACCACTTGATTCACTGGGATGAGGGAGGCATTATTCTCATGTGTACGTGTTTCGCTGATTGCACAATGTGCGTATTCAGCTGAAGAGTGGCATACTACAGCTGCCTAACTGCAGGAGTGTAAATTTATTGTACACATAAAGTGGGATCTCAGCTTGTATTGCTCCCCTCTACAGCGACCCATTAGGCTTCCCTTCCACTCCTTTATTTGAATTTCTAAAAGTGCAATCATAGAGAGAAGACCTGGACATTATGCTCATATGGGGTGACAACAGCCCTGTGCCCACATGTTTCTCCATTGCTGGTGGTGCTGCGCTCCTGGTTGCCACATGCAGTCTATGTGTTTTGGGAGCAGACTGGTCATTGTATGAGGCAGAGAAAGGGAGTAATGTGGGAAAGGTTCAACCAGAACTGAGAGGTGGCCCATCAGAAATGTATGTGCTCTATCAAAAATGTCTCTCAGAGTTCGGCCAACTCAAGGCATTGTGGAGAAGGAAACTGGGTCTGAGTACCTACTGGAAAGTGTTCTCCATTGTCTCTTGTTTTTCTTACACCCCATTTGATTTATTTCATTGCCCCTGTGCCTCAATAGGATGAAACTGAGAAGAAGGAAGAGAAGGAGAAGAAGAAAGAGCCCGAACCGTCCTTCCAGATCCTCGACAATCCGGCCCGGGTGATGCCGGCCCAGCTCAAGGTCCTCACCATGCTGGAGAGCTGCCGGTATCAGCCTTTCAAACCTGTAAGTCCAACTCTCCTTTCTTAGCCCTTTCATGCTGCAGAGAATTGATTCACTTCCATTCAAGTCAAGAGATTCAGTCAAGGGATTCCTTATCAAAAAGCTCCAAGGGAGAGCAGGGAGGCTTGATGCTGATAGATGGAGAAATGTTGGTCCTTGAGGCAGGAAATTCTCCTTTCTTGTAGTTTGAAGCCATTGTCCCATAGTCCCCAGGGCAGCAGAAAATTAAGCCTGCTTCCTCCTCCCTATGACTTCCTCTCACATATTTATACATGGCTATCATGTCTCCTCTCAGCCTTCTCTTCTTCAGGCTAAACATGCCCAGCTCTTTAAGCCGCTCCTCATAGGGCTTATTCTTCAACAAAAGAGAGACAGAGGCCAGAGTTCACAGAAATATATGGGAAAACACAATAGAAAGATGAAGGATAAGACCCCAGAGAAATAGGGAGAAACTACAATAGAGATGGGATAGCCAGCTGGGAGGAGAATGGAAAAGGGTTTTGGAGAGCTCTGATTAAATACTCCATGATAATATTTGGTGGAATTGTATATATGGTGTTAATAAAATTCCACAGGCTGAGCATCCATTAGCTAGAATTCTGAAATGTTCTAAAGTTGTCCATATTTGGATGAGATGGTGACACCTTTGATTTCTGATGATTCAGTGTACACAGACGCCAGAGTATGTATATAAGGTGTACATGAAACATATATGAATTTCATGTTTAGACCTAGGTCCCATCACCAAGATATCTCATGAGGTACATACTGTATATGCAAATGCAGATATTCAAAAATACAAAATAAAAATACAAAAAGCATTTTGCATATGGGATGTTCAACCAGCTGGTTATTATTATTATTTTTTGACAACTGTCTTTGGCTATTTCTGTTGAGTTTTGAATTGGATTTTGAGTACCATGATTTGCTGTTGATTTTGGCGAGGTGATTATGCATGTGTGATCCTTCTGCTACAGGAAGCCCTTGGTGCAAGTAATACCTCTGGGGCTGTTTGGGGCAGTGCACTAGAACAAACAGGTCAGGCTTGAACAGAGACAGGAACAAGATGGCAGACTGCAAAGTTATTCCCTGACATGGTCCAGAATCTTTTGGTGCCCATAAATACAGGGCTTGGCATCTCCCTACCCTTAAACCACCCCTTGTTTACTGTTCCTTGCACTGATAAGGGTGGCTGCCACACCCACAGTGCACCTGTCACTGAGTTGTCACTCTTTTCTTGAAAGTCTCCCAAATGTCTTGTTGAATTGTGCTCAGTGTCCAAGAGTAAGAACTTGGAGAGCGACTGGGTAGCCATTTGGTTCCATCTGAACATGAGGAAGAACTTCTTGCCTGTGAGAGCCGTTCAGCAGTGGAACTCTCTGCCTCAGAGTGTGGTGGAGGCTCCTTCTCTGGAGGCTTTTAAACAGAGGCTGGATGGCCATCTGTCGGTGCTTTGAATGCAATATTCCTGCTTCTTGGCAGGGGGTTGGACTGGATGGCCCATGAGGTCTCTTCCAACTTCTATGATCTATGATTCTATAAGCCCCAGTTTTGTATCCTTTATCCATCAAAGGCTTCCTTTCACAGCTTCCCTGGGCTGCAGTTGGCTGGTTCCAGCAAGGTGTGCTCATCCCCTCCCTTCCCAGTGGGTGCTGTTCCTTTCGACAAGTAGTTAGGTGCTTCCTTTAGGTGCTGTGGCCTTAATCTGTAGTATTTGTGCCTCCTCTTTTCCAGCTCTCCATTGGAGGCATCATTGTCTTGAGAGACACCAGCGAGGACACAGAAGAGCTAGTGGAGCCGGTGGCGGCTCACGGGCCGAAGATCGAGGAGGAGGAGCAGGAGCCGGAGCCCCCAGAGCCCTTTGAGTACATTGATGATTAGGATGCAGGGTAAGTATGAAAGGAAGGGAGGGTTTCTGTGCTCAATCTACCTTTGGCCCAGGTATGGGCAAACTTGGGCCTTCCGGGTGTTTTGGACTTCCAAATTCCTAACAGCTTCAGGGCCCTTTCTTTTCCCCTCAGCGGCTGAGGGGGAAAAAGAAGAGGCCTGAAGCTGTTAGGAATTGTGGAAGTCCAAAACACCCGGAAGGCCCAAGTTTGCCCATTCTTGAGGCGAATAAATACAGTAACCCACATAGGCTCTCCCTTTTCCCATCCTCCCTGTCCTCTCTCTTCGCAGGGATGTGGCCCTCGAAGACGTTTGGCGCTGCGTCTGACGTGGGAAAACCTGCCCGGAGGAGGTCCCTGCTGCGGATGACAGCGCACGGTGCATGCCCCAATGCTTCTGCGCTGGCAGGCGGTTTGCATTTTATGGTTGGCAAAAATATGGGAGGGAAAACTGTGCTCTCTTTCGTGTACTCTTTAACACACACACACAAAAAAATGTTTTTTTGAAAATAAAATAAAATAAGCCTTACGCGGCACTCTTTAGTTGTGGTGGGAATTTCATCCCAGAGGTTGTGCCCATCTGAGGGATTTTGAGGGTTGTGGTCCAAGGAGCAAACTTTCCCAAACCTTGTTTTCAAAGTGGCATCATCACCTTCTTACCTGGGAGCTCCTGAGCAGCGCTAGGTCTCAAAGTGAGTGTGCGTTGTGCAGTTGTATTCAGTATTGCAAAGTTATTTATTTATTTATTGTGTCAGGGGCAACCAGACAATTGTATTACGTTTCTAACAGAACAAAACAAACAAACAGACAGACAAAACACAAAATTGCAAAGTGACCTTGCAAGTGTGCGTTGTGCAGTTGTATTCAGGCAATATATTCTCCTTCAGAGATGAGCAGTTCACCTTTATTTCCCCCGCTCTTGGCACAACCAGGGGGATTTGGCTCCTGCGGCACTCTTGACTTACAGTCTTCCTCATACCTCACACGCTTTTAAATTTCGACTGTTGAAAGACAAGCCAAGTAGGCCAAAAACTTAGGGCAAAAGCCCAGGCTCCTATGAGTCACTTCGGGCTTCTCTCTGTCTACCTCTTGTGTAATTGTTTATGGGAACAGTTGCCCTGCCAGGGGGGAAAATGGCATCTTGATGGCCAAACAGGTGGTTGACCCAAATAGTTTCCTTCCAAAAACTAGCAGAAAGAAGCCCAGGGGTGGGAGACTAACACTCTTGGGATTTAGGTCTTCCCCGTGAGTGGATAAGGTGCCCTTATGTGATGTGGCGGCAAAAAAAGCCAATGGGAATTTGGCCTTCATCAATAGGAGCATAGTGTCTAGATCTAGGGAAGTCCTGCTCCCCATGCTCTATTCTGCCTTGGTTGGACCACACCTGGAATATTGTGTCCAATTCTGGGCACCACAATTCAAGAGAGATATTGACAAGCTGGAATGTGTCCAGAGGAGGGCGACTAAAATGATCAAGGGTCTGGAGAACAAGCCCTATGAGGAGCGGCTTAAGGAGCTGGGCATGTTTAGCCTGAAGAAGAGAAGGCTGAGAGGAGATATGATAGCCATGTATAAATTGTCAAGCTAAGGTGCAACTTGACAGAAGCAAAATGCTAGATCCACCAGACACAGCTCTGAAATCAAGGACTCTGGAGACTTTGGTTACAAAAGAAAACTCAGTTTACTAAGCACAGTAAAACACGTCCATCTACAGCGAGCGACACACAGGAAGAGACAGGAAAACTGAAAGTCAAACAGAACTTTGCAGCTGTTAATCTTTCTTGCTCCAAGTGGCAACTTCCTAGAAGTTCTCAGCAGAAGAGAGCTTATCTTAAGGTCACTTAATCACAGCCTCAACATAAACATTTCAGTACAGCATTTTCATTCTCATTGGCATCCATATTTGCTACACAAGAATTACATTTAAAACTAATACACATAATTACATGTGATACCTCAATAAATATGTGAGAGGAAGCCACAGGGAGGAGGGAGCAAGCTTGTTTTCTGCTTCCTTGGAGACTAGGACACGAAACAATGGCTTCAAACTACAAGAGAGGAGATTCCATCTGAACATGAGGAAGAACTTCCTGATTGTGAGAGCCGTTCAGCAGTGGAACTCTCTGCCCTGGAGTGTGGTGGAGGCTCCTTCTTTGGAAGGTTTTAAACAGAGGCTGGATGGCCATCTGTCGGGGGTGCTTGGAATGCAATATTCCTGCTTCTTGGCAGAATGGGGTTGGACTGGATGGCCCATGAGGTCTCTTCCAACTCTATGATTCTAATCAAACAAAAATTACACAATGACATAAAATCTGAACATAAAACATCCACATTTACAGATGCCAACAACAGGTGCAGGAAGCTGCACCTGTGGGGTTTCTGACAGCGATGAGTTGGATCCCTTTTGATTGGTCCAGGCAGGTTGGAGATGGCAAGTCTGGGCCAGAATAAAGAACCCCTTTGCAACCAGTTGGAATGTCATGGTTATGGTTGTGCAGTTGGTCTAATTTGGAGAGGGGAACTCTTCCAGCTCAGGTGGGTTCAGTGCCAGTGTCCCAGGGGTGGGCTGAACTCAAAGCAGAAAAAGAAGGGGCCAAAAATAAATCGCAAAACATTGAACTAACCAGCTGCAATATTTGAGGCCTTGTTGCAATGAGTCTTCTCCTCAAACTATGCTCCCAGTTTTCTACTCTTTCCCATTTGGGAGTATTAGGTGGAATCCTATTAGCCACATGTCTGTGTATCTTTTTATGTGTATATGTTTTACTTTTTTGGTCCAGCACTATTCCATATCCCTTTTCTGCCCTTTCCGAAACCTAACACTCCAGCAGGTATCAAACCCTGGGATTTGCTATGGTTTAATAGGAAGAGTCCCCTGGTGTAGTGGGTTAAACCGCTGAGCTGCTGAACTTGCTGACCGAAAGGTTGCCGGTTCATAAAATCATAGAATCAAAGAGTTGGAAGAGACCTCATGGGCCATCCAGTCCAACCCCATTCTGCCAAGAAGAAGGAATATTGCATTCAAATCACCCCTGACAGATGGCCATCCAGCCTCTGTTTAAAAGCTTCCAAAGAAGGAGCCTCCACCACACTCCGGGGCAGAGAGTTCCACTGCTGAACGGCTCTCACCGTCATGAAGTTCTTCCTCATGTTCAGATGGAATCTCCTATCTTGTAGTTTGAAGCCATTGTTCCATTGCGTCCTACTCTCCAGGGCAGCAGAAAACAAGCTTGCTCCCTCCTCCTCCCTGTGGCTTCCTCTCACATATTTATACATGGCTCTCATCATATCTCCTCTCAGCCTTCTCTTCTTCAGGATAAACATGCCCAGCTCCTTAAGCCGCTTCTCATAGGGCTTGTTCTCCAGACCTTTGTTCAAATCCAGGGAGTGGGGTGAGCTTCCGCCGTTAGCCCCTGTTTCTGCCAACTCAAGCAGTTCGAAAACATGCAAGTGTGGGTAGATCAATAGGTATCACTCCGATGGGAAGGTAACGGCGCTCCAGGCAGTCATGCCAGTCACATGACCTTGGAGGTGACTATGCACAACACCGGCTCTTCAGCTTAGAAATTGAGCACCATCCCCCAGAGTCGGACCTGAGTAGACTTAATGTCAGAGGAAACCTTTACCTATTGGGAAGAGATAATTTGGATGGAAGGATGTCCCTGGTCTGGGCTCTGAATGGGGCCAACACCATTTAGGACAACGCCTTGTTTATTTCTTCTTTTGTGCCAAGATCACCTGCTTTGCCCTCATGTAAATCGCCTTCCCTGAAACTTTCCCAGTTTGCCTATTGCTTGACAGTTGTTAAAGCACAAAGAGAACATGGAATTGCATGGCGTCACACTCCATTGCTTGGCTTTCCCCATCATTTTTATTAATAATTTTCCATATTATAAAAGTACACAAAATTGTGAAACTACAGAAATTTATTTATTATTTATTTACTATATTTATATACCGTCCCTCTCAGCCCGCAAGTGAACATTATCCCTAATGTTCATATCCCAGTGTTAATCTTTCTCCTCTTGTTCCCACAAAAAGACAACTCGTTTCCAGCCTTTCACGCGCTCCACTGTAAAATCTTGGCCCTTGTATCCTGCACAGAAATGTTTGCATATTTTCTCTTCTCAGGGAGAAAGATAACATAGTTTTGGAGCAGTCAGCCAACAAAGAAAATAGGAGAGTCTAACAAAACGTGGATCAGATGGAAGTGAGGAAGGTTTGTTTCGAAAGTGAATATCTGCAGTCCTTTCTCGGAGATCATTGCTTTCCCCCCCCTTCTCTGAGTCAGTTTGCTGTCTAGATGAGTTAAGTATGCATTGTCAAGCTATTAATAACCATTCCTCACTTTAATAAGAGCATTAACCTCTATCAGCAGCTGCTGTCCTCTGGAATTTCCTTTGGATTTCAGGACTCATTGTGCTAAAGATACCTCCAAAGGAGAGTCATGGTCTAAGATGACACCTCTGAGGTTTTCCTTGGCCGCTTGTTCCGGGAGATCCTAGACGGAGCGTGAGGTTTCCAATGCCTTGTCATGTTTCCAACAAGGAGAGGAAAGTGCATAACTCTTGAGGGAGGGCAACTGTTGATTTAATAGCTGTTCATCATGCCACAGAAAAGAGATAAGAGGTGTTGATTCAGATGGATTTTCAGAACAAGGAAGGGTGGGGTGCTTTGGCAGAAGAAGCCTGGGCAAATTCAGGCAAACTTTCACTCTTCCTGCTTGGAAGACAGGGTCGCTTTATTTTCAGATACAGGCAAAATTGTGTGAGTGCAGAATAATGGTGTACAATGGTGCACTTCCTCTGATTTCTGCCCATTATGCCATTGTTTTGCCAGGAGTTTTGCCAAGAAATCAGAAAGACAATTGGAGCTCATTTAGAACAGCAAAAATTCCATGCAAACAATAAATAACATTTTAAAACAACATCCATAAAACAACAGGTTAAAATACATATAAAACCATTCACCAAGTTAAAAACATCGTCCAACTCAGTCCCCACATTGTGGTTCAATAACTTTAGTCTTTACTAGTCTCTGTCGCCACTCTGCGAATGCCTGATTCCATAGCCAGGATTTCAATTGCTTCCTGAAGGTCAGGAGGGAGGGGGCAGACCTGACTTCATTCGGGAGAGAGTTCCATAGCCCGGGGGCCACCACAGACAAGGCCCTGTCTCTCGTTCCCACCAGATGTGACTGCAAAGGTGGAGGGACCGAGAGCAGGGCTCTCTGGAAGATCTTAATGCCCTTAATGGTTTATAGGGGAGAATACATTTTGACAGGTAAACTGGGCTGGAACCGTAAAGGGTTTTGTAGATTAAAACCAGCACTTTGAATTGTGCTCAGAAGCTAATTGGCAGCAGTGGAGCTGGTGTAACAAGGGAGATGTGTGCTCCCTGTACCCCTCTCCCGTGAGCAACCTGGCTGACAAACATTGGACTAGTTGGAGCTTTCAAGCAGTCTTCAGTTACAACCCCACATAGTGTGCGTTGCAGTAGTCTATTCAGGATGTAACCAGAGCGT